AGCTATACCCATGGATATCACCACATTGTTGTTGTTGTTAACTGCCCTCGAGTCGATCCCGACCCATGGCGACCCAATGAATGAGACATCTCCAAGAAAACCCTCCTGTCCTCCACTCTCTGCTTAATACCTGAAACCCCTTAATAAATATCCATGGTGGCCTCCTTCATAGAGTCCATCCATCTGGCCTGTGGCCTTCCTGTCTTCTTACTTCACTCCACCTTCCCCAGAATTATTGTCTTTTCCAAAGAGTCCTCTTTTCTCATGATGTGTCCAAAGTACAACAGCCTCAGTTTGGTCATCTTGGCTTCTTCCAGGGAGATTTCTGGCTTGATCTGTTCTAGGACCCCTTTGTTGGTCCTTTTGGCTGTCATGGGATCCTCAGCATCTTCTCCAGAAACACATTCTCTCAAATGCATTGGTTTTCCTCTTGTCCTCTTTCTTAACTGTCCAGCTCTCACATCCATCCATGGGAATAATAGGGAATACAATGGCTTGTATGATTCTGACTTTTGTGCTCAGTTGTATATCTTTGCATTTGAGAATCTTTTCTAGTTCACCACATCACCGCATAGTCAACACAAAAACCAAAAAGATTCTATTATCAGAAGCAGAAATGGAGAACCTCCATTTTGGTGGTGAAGGCTAGACCTGGCTCAGACTGTGGCACAGATCACAGATTACATATATCAAAAATCAGAATAAAACTTAGGAAGAAAACAGAACCAGTCATCATCCCAAAATTTGATCTGAACAATGTTTCATTGACACTATAAGGAACACAATTGCGTTAATTACACAGTTAATTGACTGTGAACCAGACGGTCTATGATCAGAAGCCAGGGGCACAATAAAAGAAAAATGCAGACAGACACTTTCAATAAAAAGAAAGGATGGATGACAGATAAAATGCTACAAGCAGTAAAGGAAAGAAGAGAAGCAAAACAAAAGGGAGACAGGAACAAATTCAGAACCAGGAATGCAACAGTACAACATGTGCAAAAAGATAACAACAACTACTACAACGACCAATGCAAAGAGAGAAAGCACAACACCAAAAAAGGAAAAAATGACAGACCTATTCCACAAGATCTAGGAAATCAAAGGGAAATTCAAACCGAGGACCAGGATGCTCTATGACAATAAAAATAACATAATTCAAGACCAGGAAGGAATAAAAAGACATTGGATGAAATACATAGAAGAGTTATATAAAAGAGATGACAACCCGAAAGGCAAATGGAACGAAGAGCCATATGAAGATGAACCCCAAATTCACCAAAACGAGGTGGAAGCAGCAATAAGAGAAATGGTAAAAAAGCAAATCACCAGGAACAGACAATATTCCAATTGAATTGCTGCAATCCACATTGACAGAATCAACCCTAGTGCTAACCAATGTATGTCAACAGGTATGGAAAACAAAACAATGGCTAAAGGACTGGAAATGATCAGTATACATCCCCATCCACTTTATGCTGCACATAAAGAAAAGAAAAATAATGACAATGGAGGATCTACATAAATTCAACCTACACAATGAGAAAATTGAAATAAAGATTTCCCGTACCTTGGATCGTTCAGAATGGAGACTGCAGTCAAGAGATAAGAAGAAGACTAGGAATAGGAAGGGCAGCCATGAAGGAGCTAGAGAAGATCCTAAAGAGTAAGGATATGCAACTGAGCACTGACCATGAATCAAGGTTGACTCAAGGGCAGTTAACAACAACAAATTACAGTTGGCCTTCCGCATTTGCGGCTTTGTCTGTTGCGGATTTGATTATTTGCAGTTTTGATTAATATGTTCTCTCTAGGCATCTTTAGGCCCTCCAGCATGATTCTGTGGTCAAATTCTGGCAGATGTTGACCACAGAGTTGCACTGGAGGATGTGGAGATCCCTAGAGAGGTGCTCTCTTAGGTAAAAAGAATAGTGTTGTTGTGCTTTTTTTATTTGGGATTTTCCCACATTCACTGGGGTCCTTCAGCACTAACCCCAGCGATGTAGTGTTTAGACAAGTTAGTTTGGACTAGAGCTCTCAGAATCCCCAGCCAGATTGTCCGCTGGGGGATCAAGACAGCAATATAGAATCATAGAGTTGGAAGAGACCCCAAGGGTCATCCAGTCCAACCCCCCTTCTGCCATGCAGGAACTCACAATCAAAGCATCCCCCACAGATGGTCATCCAGCAACCTCCAACGAAGGAGAATCCATCAACAGAGAGCTTTCCCACACTCCTATTACAGTATAGACTACAACACCCATCGTCCTTGACTATTGGGCATACTGGCTGGGTCAGTGGAAGGACCAGATTTTGCTAGCTACAAAAGGGAATGTAGAACTTGAAAGAAGAAGGCAGAGGAAGCTGAGAAACTGAGGACTGGCATTGATCCTGTTTGCTAGCAGGAGTCCAGCCAGCCGGATGAGTAACTCTTTTACTCATATAATTCTGGAGCGTGGGCCTTTCCCGGCAGCCCGAAGATAGCAATCCTCTTCTCCACCCGCTGGCAAAACACATTTCCTTTGCAAATGCATTTCTGGAGTAGTGAAATGTGAGCCCCAGCATCTCTTTTGACTTCCAAATGCAGCAGCAACAGCAGGATTCCTAAAACACCAACAGAGAATTTAAATATATATATATATATAGGGGAAGTCTAGCATCCTTTGACTTCCCTGTTTCTTTTATTTATCATCTATGGGTCTGGGGTGATTGTTGTGTATCTTCCAGTCCCCACAAACCGATGGCAAAGCTCTCTCCAGGGTTTCCTGGCAATCACAATCGATCTGGATTGTGCATCTGGGTGACCCCTGAGGGTTGCCGGTTTGTTCAACTTTGTATGTAACTTTCGTGTTCGGCTTTATATCCTTGCGCTTTAGGATTTTGTCTAGTTCTTTCATAACTGCACTCCCCATTCACAATAGAAAAGATCATGATGCTAGGAAAGGTAGAAGAAGGCAGTAGGAAAAGGAGAAGACTGCATTCCAGATGGATCGGCTCAGCCAAGGAGACCACAAGATCTGAGCAGAGCTGTTGAAGACAGAATCACAGAGTTGGAAGAGATCCCAAGGGCCATCCAGTCCAACTCCCTTCTTCTGCCATGCAGGAATTCTCAATCAAAGCACCCCCTGTGACAGATGGCCACCCAGCCTCTGTTTAAAGACCTCCAAAGAAGGAGAGAGTCAAGGTTGAGGGCAGTTAACAGCAGCAACAAAAAGGGAATTTAAGTACGGTACATACCAAATGTTCTGAAAAAAATACAGGCTAGATTGTGACAATGTAGTTGAACTGAACTTAAATGGGAAAAATTATAATTAAAAAGAAGTTTTTTTAAAATGGACAAGTATCAAATATAAGAACTACTGAACAAAACTTACTTTGTTTCCTTTTTAGAAAGGGTACAAATGTAGAACGTATTAATAGGAATATGTGACTGTAACTAACAGTAAACAGAGTTGAGAGTCACTTTTTTACTGATTTAGATACTGGAAGTCTGTTTTTCGTTAAATGCATTAGATATTTGTCTTGTAACTGTGTTTGTTTGTTGTTCTTTCCTTTCCTGTTCTTTCTGTATGTTTGGTCTTGTGTTTGTTGGTTATCAGAGCGAGTCTAAGCTTGCTCTGATACTTTCTGCTGTATTCCCCCATCATCCCCAAGTATTTGATTTGATATCTGTAATGTGATATTTGATATGATATTTAATAAAGATTTTTTTAAAAAGGGAATTTCAGCAGACGTTGCTTGTCAAGCAACCAGGTAACAAGAAACACCTTCTGAAATTCCCTCTTCTGGATCTGTGCGCTGTGTGTCTTCAAGACTTTCCGTCTTACGGTGACACTACGGCAAACCTGTCACTTTTTTTTGTCAAGGTTTTTCAGAGGAGGTTTGCCATTGCCTTCCTCTGTGGCTGAGAGACTGTGACTCACCCAAAGTCACCCAGAGGGTTTCCATGGCTGAGCCAGGATTCGAACCCTGATCTCCAGAGTTAAGGGACAAGTGTCCACTCCAGTTTTCACTCTGGCAACCCCAACCTCTTCAAAAATCAAAACAGCTTCACTTAGCAGCTTCTGGATATGTTCTATGTCCCAGGACTCTGACCAAAAAGAGGCATTGACCCCAAGGCGCTTACAATACAGTCAGTCCTCCGTATCCACGGGTATTTTTATCCACGGATTCAATCATCCACGGCTTGAAAATATTCACAAAAATATATATAAACTCCAAAAAGCAAACCTTGATTTTGTCATATATGGGACACCATTTTAGTATGCCTTTGTCTACAACAGGATTGCAGCATCCGTGGATTTTGGTATCCATGGAGGGGGGGGGGG